GTATGTATGTATGGATGGATGGATGGATGTATGTATGTATGTATGGATGTATGGATGGATGGATGGATTGATGGATGGATGCGCCTGCGTGCGTGTCTGTGTGTGTATGTTTGTGTGTGTTAATGGATGGATACACACACAACCGATCAACTTGAAAGTTAAACACTGTGCTTACAATTCACCACCCTCGATAATCTCCAGGGTATACCTTACGGTAACTCTCCACTAAACCCTGGATGCATCTACGGCTCGGTCCGATGTTTTTATTACCTCCCTTTGCTGGCTCAGCATTCTCACTGTAGCCAATCAGTTAAAGGGCAAGTGTGACATGTTTAAAGGGCAAGTGTAAAATTAACCTTTTGTCTTGCACTTTTTCATCATAAAAGTGTTTATCAAGTAGTTTTATATCCAAACACGTACATATATCAGAAGTAACTAATTTATTTTTTGCGTTATATCAATTCATATTTTCAACATTTACCGAGAGTTCTATGTCCACAATAAACACACCATGGCTTATGTCCCTTGGAAATGACGTCATTGGTGCCCAAACGATAAACGAATGACGTCTTTAGACCTTATTAGACCCATTTCACGTGGTGCAGGTATAGGTGTGGTTCTTGTGTCTCGATGCGCAGGCTACTGTTTTAATCCACCTGTTGCCTAGCCGTCAGCTGGCTATGTGGTCAGTTCTACACTGTAATGACGTTGCTGTTTTGAAAAAAGTATACATTGTACTAAATGTGTTACCACGTAACCAAATTGTATAACATTCAACCTGAGTCGGTCGCCTTTTCAACAGTATCATTTTTCACAAAAATTAAAACGTGCACTACATCTAGCTTGCCATCTGTGAATGTGCCGGCCTTCTACGTTTGTTACTAAAATTCCTACTTAAATCGTACAATATGTCCCTCCTCTTCCACCTTCACTTTGATATCGATACCATATCCAAATACATCACGAAGATAAATGCAATTTGCAGTTTTGAACTCTGTTTGAAATTCGTTTTTCTATGATAGATGTATCATCCGCTCATTATCCAAATATACTGAAAATTACATGCATCGTAAATCTCGCCAGTTTTGACACATTACTAAATCACCATTTACTGCGTTTTGCGTAATTTATAGTATGTCTTAATTCAAATGTCAAATTTTACTGGGAGAACTCAATTTAAAAGAAAAAGACGTATCATTGTGATCAGCGGTAGTTTTGTTGTTGTATGATCAAATCACCAATGCTCGTTCTGAAGCATTGTCGATGAACCGAGAATCGCTGAGAATGTTAAGGAAAATACGCAAACACCAAAGCCATATTACAGAGTGTTTATAAAATCACGTCACATGTATGTTGGTTATGTTTCGCCCATAAAATCAATAAAATTGTATAGTTCAACACCATCTTCCTGACAGGAATCCCTGAATTCCACATACAGTTCAAAATAAACTGGCAAGTGGACTTTGTCACCAATTCGAAGTGTTTCAGTGAAATCGAACGAAATATATCAGATGCCGCGCTGGGAAAGGACCACATGTTTGAAATGTAAACAAAGCCAATCTCAGATTTTACACTGTGTATCCGTTCGCCTACTTGTTGCCTGGTCATTAGATTTAGAACATGCATGGAAAGGTATCGTAGCAAGCGATAGTTAAATAAAATAGGTGTATTCTTGTGATTTTCTAGATTCATCACAACATATATTACAGTTTCTGAAAGCGTGACGCCATGATTGACGCCAACTCACGCACAACGATGACGGTACCTCTTAATTTCTGACTATTTCCCTTGGTCACAATGAAAACAAAAAGAAAATAACAACCAGCAGACTGACATAATTTTCGGACTACTTACATGTCACATTTATGCATATACGTTGCTTGAAACAACGAAAATGTCTTCGAAAACTTCGTACTCGTGTCAGTGAACACGCCATTTTGAAAAAGTCGCTTCCCGATAGTGATGTCATACGGACGTCAACATTGTTATACACATTTGGTATTTTCACTGAGGTGAGGTTATGAATGAAAATACACACGATCAATCTGTCCTGCTGCTTACATTGTCTGTTCTTATGCTTCTTTCGAATTTTCACAAACTTTTTTCACGTGATTAATTTCAGTATAATTTATCTTGGGACTAGACAGGAGACCAGTTTAAAAATCAAGTGGCACCAATTACGTCATAATCAAAGGGCGGTAACTCTGGCCTGTTTTAGCTCTGCAAACAAAGGCGTAACATATTGGCGTAACATATCAGCACTTATTTTGTGGGTTATTTTTACATTGTAAGAAAAATAAGTGTATATTTTCAAACATTGGTATTAACTAATTAAAACAGTTCACTTTGATTCACATAAGAATAAATGTGATTTATTCGTGTACAGTTCCCCTTTCGTGCCTGTCCGTGTGTGTGCGTGTGTTTCTGTCTGTGTGTGTGCGTGTTTCAGTCTCTGTGTGCGTGTGTTTCTGTCTGTCTGTGTGTGTTTCTGTCTGTCTGTGTGCGTGTTTCTGTCTGTGTGCGTTCTGTCTGTGTGTGCGCGTGTTTCTGTCTATCTGTGTGTGCGTGTGTGTGCGTGTTTCTGTCTGTGTGTTCACGCGCAGTCGGATACAAGGACTACTGTGTCTAAAACAGGTATATAATAAATTAAATACCGTAATATATGTTGGTTATACAGTAAACGCGTGTATCACATGTTCGATGTCAAATAGTACACCTGTCTTCTATGAAAAACATTAAAGGTTTTCTCAAATCGGCTGTCTTGTTTTACAAACTGTACGCCGATAGGTCTGCCCATACAGTGCCTAATGTGATTAACAGTCAAATCATGCGGCAAGCATGCCATAGGAATCCAATGAATTGACCTCATCCTCGGATCCATGAAAATACCATACATAGATTAGGATAGTTTGTAAGTCGGTAACCAAATATGGAATACAAACTGAAACAAAGTATTAAAAGAAGAGTGTTGACGAGAACCATGATTTGAACCGGTCCACAACGTAAGGTGATATATAATAGACTGTTACTGTACGAGTTGTCCCCCTTCATACACGATAACGAAAGTAGAACCCGGGTAACTTCCTGGTTGTATGGACGGGTGGACCGCCCGCACACTATCAGAGTTTCACTGTAAGTTGTTCGTATTCAATGTTACATACTCTCCCACTGTCTCCATGCTTGGGATATAACTGTTTCTGTAGACTGCTGTCTTAATGTTATTGTTTAGTGTTACGAACATGTCATGATTTAACTGTTACTGGTGACCAAACACTTGTGTTCAAAGCTACTTCACACCCTCTGATTTCAACGCTCCACGTAAAGGAGATGTACAGTAAAACTCAAATCAAATCATTTATAAAGCATATAAAAACAAGCATCTTGAAAATGATGTTTTTCATAATGTCAATAGTCTTCTAAAAAAGTACTCGTGTTCCGGAAACTAGCGAGAGTTGACGACTAGAGTTGCTATTATGTGACCTGACGTCACAGTGTAGAGTTGACGAGCTGCATTTCATTCGTTACCAATTCGTGTTATTACGGGCCAAGCTGAGGATTTAATGTTGGCTAATGAAGAGCAGAACTACTTCAGACTTGAACGATAACTCTATTTCTGAATGATTCTAATAGTTTTAACAATCACTCATTGCTGTATTTCATAAACGAATGAGACCGTGAGCGTTCTCGCCAACAGCTAGGCTACTGACGACGTTGAGTATAATATTCATCGTCAATACGTTCTCCTGCAGACGCTTGCCTGACCATGTGATTTGTTTGTTTGTTGTTTAACCCCCCTTGCTGATGTCGGCTTTTCTTTTACTGAACTGTGCATATTCATCCAGTACATTTTTCTAATCCTTGTGTATGTGCGGTTTCTTTGAGTATTTGTGTGTGTATGTATGTGTGCGTGCGTCTGCGTGCGTCTGCGTATACTACACAATTATGATGATGATGATGAAATGAATTTGTTGGAAACATATTCTGTCGTCGTAATTATTCCGAGCTTTAAGTGTTTTATTTCCAAATGTATACATCTAAATGTTTGTAAAAACGTTAAAGAGATTAAAATATATCTATTCAGTGTACATTAATTTCTTCAAATTTCTTTGAAATTTAGGAATTGCAGATGTTATCGTTTTCCTTTATTAGGTATTAACAATAATATTTATATGTAATAAGTCTAAATACAGAAGACCTTTGTCAATATTAGTCAACATCAATATTAGTATCCATTAAAGCTATCTAAATCATCTAGATTTACTACGTTTGTTTTTCATAAACCAGGTCTGTGAGCATTCATTGTTTTTGTGGGGTATTCGGTGTTTTGCGTGTTCACAGTTCGGAATGGTGTTTCATGTTCCATTATTCCGATATTTCATTTTCCTCTCATTTCTAGTTCATAAACGTTCATAATGTTTTAATGCAAGTTTGTGAGTTTGGAGGTTTTTTTTAAAGTGTCAAAATAATGTTAAAAATATTTGCAGGGGCAACCTCAAGATATATCTATGATATTAACAAATCATCAGTTAAGCATCTATTTTATGGCATGGCTCCTGAAAAGTGGAATGAATTGGCTCAGATTGTTTATCCGGTAATGACTTTGAGGGATCATTGAATGTGTCTTTCATACACAGTATATGTACTTTCGATTTATAACATTATTTTACACAATAATCAGTTACATTAATCAGTAACAGAAATTTAGTCAATAGTTAGTAAGTAACGACTGTATATCTGTTTTGATAGTTTGATAAATCAAAGCAACAATGGAAAACCTTAACCCCAAACAAAAATGGTGGAATTATCATTTTCATATTTTCATTCGTCTTATCTTAGACATCTAGTTATTAAATATAGACAAGTCTGTATAGGTTTATTCAAGATTTGAATCTCTCGACGTGAGTGGCTTATTTCTATTGACAACTGCAATTCATGCAACACAGCTCAGGTCGTCATGCCTGGTAATCACCTCAACGCCCAGCGACAAAGTGAGTCATAAGCTATAAATAGTTTTTCTGGCAATTCCTGTTAAAGCGAAAGCTGTCGGGCTTATGGGCAGTTGGATATCATCAATAGTGTTCTACCTATTACGGACTTTGGAAGGGAGGTACGACAGAACACATGACTCCCCGTGTATAGTCCAGACATAATGCTTTACATGTTTAGGAAGAATATTGTTGGCTGTGGCATTAAACAAACAAACAAACAAACAACCTTTGAGCAAAAGGTCAACATTTTAAGATAAAAATAGTGTGTATTGTAAAAGTGTCCTTGATTAATTCTGGACGATGTAGGTTCCTAGTTAATGTGATATGACCTTGACCACTCTGTCTTGCACACAATACCTTCCATGGGGCATCATTTAAAGATTTACAGCCGATTTCCTCTTAATTGTACCCTAGTAATATCATGAAAATATGGAAAAACTGAAGTCTCTCTTAGGATGTTAAACATGTCTAAAAGAAGTTAAACTGCCATACTCTGATCATGTTTTCCTCGTTTCCTCTTTAGCACCTGTAAAAGTGGCAGAAGCGAAAGCAAGCATGTCATCACCATTTGACCTGAAGTCCTTTCTAACGGAAAGCAGCTGGACAAACGCCTTACAGGAAGTGTTCAAAGAGCAGTATTTTGAAGACCTCCAGAAAAAGCTGGAGCAAGATTACTCAGGAGCAAAGCAGATCTTTCCTCCAAAAGAAAAGATTTTTAATGCTTTTAACCTGACCCCAATTGACAAGGTAAACATTTTTGTGAAAGTGTGAAGTGAGGTCACAGATCTGAATCTGTAAAGGCGTCAGATTTATTTAAACTAAAACTTTAATTGATAATCTGAAAATATGTTGAAATATTGGGTGGTTAAATTGTCCTTAATTGATAATCTGAAAATATTTTGAAATATTGGGTGGTTACATTGTCCTTGTGTTTCATCAATATTGAGGAGATATTTTAACCTACCCATGATCTCTCTGAAAAGGTATAATTTGTTACCAGGGGTGGAAAGAACTTTAAAATTGCTAGTGTACTCCGGGACAGTGGCACTTGTAAAATCACTTGCCCTGATAATTTTTCCACTATACCGACCGTTTTTCTGTTGATTTTTAAAAATAAACCACATAATAAATATTGGAAAGTCAATTGGACACCAGTACAGTGTGACATACAAATTTGCTTGCCCGGCATGAAAAAACACTGGACTTGGGCGTCAGTCAATGGGTTATTTCCACCCCAGGTTACGGTTATGTTTTTGTACACCAGGAATCTTATTACTGCATATACATGTACAGTATATTATGATTTTCTGTAAATGTGAGTGAGCGAGTTTAGTTTTACGCAGCACTTAACAATGTTTCAGCTATATGGCGGCGGTCTGTAAATAATCAAGTCTGGACCAGACAATCCAGTGATCAACAGCATGAGCATCGATCTATGCAATGGGGATACAATGACATGTGTCAACCGGGTCAGCAAGCCTGACCACCGATCCCGTTAGTCACCTCTAACAACAAGCATGGGTTACTGAATTCACATTCTAACCAGGACCTTCACGGGCTATTCTGTATATGTATGCATGGGTGTATATATATGATAGATTTCTGAATTCCTGATTGTATATTTGTCGTTTAACGCTGTACTCAGCAATATTAAACTACGTGGTGGCCATGAAAAAAGAGTCTGAACCAGATAATCCAGTGATTAAAATCATGAGCATGGATCTAGTCAATGGGGATATGGTTGTATTATAAGGTTATACGGTTGAACAGTTGATGTGTTGTGAAATAAAAATGAGAAGGGGCAACTTTACTGATTTCAACACAGTGGTACCGTTCTTAATGGCATGTTGACAATGTGTGTTGTTTTTTAGGTGAGAGTTGTGATCCTTGGACAAGACCCATACCACGATGATGGGCAGGTGAGAAACTCACTTATAAACCTCAAGTGACATCACGCTATTGTTCAGTTGGGTTGTTCTTTTACAGCGTAAAGTTCTGCAGTCAGTTTCCTGGGCATTCTCCAGGAAATTCCAGGAATTTCTTAAGGAATGCCCTGGGTTTTTTTATACATAGCCATTGAGTTTGAATTATTTTATTTGCACTCGTTTTGAAGATTGATATAACTTTGTCTTGCTATTACCGAATATGATCGTAAAATATCACAGTGTTGAAAATTTCCAACAATATTGTGTCAATGCCTGTTTTCAATATTTGTGTAGTGAGACATTACCAGAGTGGTCTAAGGGAGGTAACTGTGTAGTATATGGGGATCTAGTTCTAACGGTTTTGGATAATGTGAAACCAAGGGCTTTTTGTTTTAGGCGGAAGGGCTGGCGTTCTCGGTGCCTGATGGACTGGCTGTTCCTCCGTCTCTAAAGAACATCTTCAGGGAATTGACAACAGACATCCCAGGGTTCAAGACGCCTGCTGGCGGAAGTCTAGAGAAATGGGCTGTACAAGGAGTGTTCCTTCTCAATGCTACACTCACTGTGGAGTAAGTTTGTCTCATAGCGTTTGTGTGATATATAGAGGTGACTGCTGAGGGCTTTTTAGCTCAACTGGCCTGTGTCACAGCGTGTACTATTGTCATTGTCCGAAAATATTATGAAGTAATAATTCTATATTTTTGTCCTCTTCTCATAATGGCTTGGATGTTATTTCTATTAGAGCTGTGACGATATATCGTCGTATCGATAATCATGATATCTTTTCCGACAATAAATATATCGATACTTGTTTTAGTATCGTGATATGTATCGTTGACCTAAAAATTGTGAATTTTCACTGGAAATTGACGGGTGTGTCAAAATTTACACTGTTACTTGTTATTCAAATACACCTTTTTATAGAAAATAACTAAAGATAGCATATCATGATACGCATTGTATCGAATCGTATCATTCAAAGATATCGAGATACGTATCATAAAATTTCTGTATCGTCACACCTCTAGTTTCTATAAGGGTGTTAATGGCTTTTCAAATCATCCATACCAGGGTTAGATTTGGTCTTCAGCAACTCATGTTTTTATTAAGACACATCTAAGGGGATAGATGTCTTACGTCTGGAAACTGCTGAGTGCAGGGTTTAAAACAACAAATAAACAAATAAACTAACACATCAAAGCATCCAATTTTAATATCAATATTGTCACTAGGATGAATCTTTTATTCTGAAAAAACATAAAGGGCCCTAGACGTGAAATGTGGTCAACAGGGTGATCTTAAGTAAGGCCATATAGTTCAAAGCTACGGAAGTGTAGTAGGGACACAGTGAATTTTGTTTTGGGTCTCTTTATCTCCTACATAGGACATAATATCTCCTATGTAGGACTTAGTATCTCCTACGTAGGACATGGTATCTCCTACGTAGGACTTAGTATCCCCTACGTAGGACATTGTATCTCCTATGTAGGACTTTGTATCTCCTATGTAGGACTTAGTATCTCCTATGTAGGACATCGTATCTCCTACGTAGGACATCATATCTCCTATGTAGGACTTAGTATCTCCTACGTAGGACATCGTATCTCCTGTGTAGGACATCGTATCTCCTACGTAGGACATCATATCTCCTACGTAGGACTTCGTCTCTCCTACGTAGGACTTCGTATTTCCTATGTAGGACTTCGTATCTCCTACGTAGGACTTCGTATCTCCTATGTAGGACTTAATATCTCCTACGTTGGACATACTACATGTATTTCCTTAATATCTCCTACATAGGAGATGATAAATATATATAAAGATATTTGCGTATATACACAACTAATGTTCCGTGAGGTGAAAGGGAAATTGATAAGAATCCTGCAGTTATGTGGATGGGTCACACGTAATTATTAAGTCCAGCAACCACGTCAAGACTTGATAATAATTTCTTCCATTTTTAATGTTACAGTTTATGTCTACTTAGAGGCTAGTAATGGCTAGAAAGTACCGGGTATTTACAATTCGAATCTGGGTACTGAGTGTCGCTTAATGTTGTAATTACATGCGTATGCCAATCGTAGCAATTGAATAATTCCAGAAAAAGTTCCCTTTTTAAAGTTTGTTTGTTTATGCAGGACGTTAGATAGTAGAAATGTGAGTCAGTGAATTTTCATGACACTAACGCAGTGTTGCTATACAGTGTTGTTGTGTATAACGTTAGGGTGGCGTGAACCTTCTATTGATAAGTGCAGTTATAGCAATTTTGGTATGGTTATGTTTGATCTATCATACATGCATCTATTCATACACAGACGGAGAGAGAGGGGGGTAGGTGGGGAGGGATGAGGTTATGATATGAAACTCCTCCGCAAGTTGCTGCTTGTCTTCCGATGGGGCTAGGTTGGATCGGATACAACGCTCGTTGTTTGCGCTTTGTTCGTGATTGTTTACAGGTTGACTTGACTGGGTGAAAAAGTCTTGAATGCGGCGTAAAACTATGCAAAATTAAAAAAGGCAAAGAATTGTCATTCTAGTTATTTGTAAACCGCTGTAACACAAAAAGACATATATTGGCCAATGATCAATGTCACTCGCATTTAAAATGTCGCATAGCCTACCGACCGGATCCACTTGAAGTCAACCGGACCACAAGCACAGGTTACTGGGGTTTAGTTCTAACACAGAATTCCCATGATGTGAAATGACACAAACTCTTTTTTTTTTTTTTTTTTTTTATTTCCAGAGATAATTTTTTTTTTTTTTTTTTTTTTATTAGTCAAATATTACAGAAAATGCATTTCACGAGTATTTACAGTATACATTTTCATGCCACAAACTCGACAAGCTGTAATATCTATTCACAAGAAGATGGTAATGTTGTCTTTTATCTTGGAGGAAGGTCAGGGAAAATATTGTTGACAAACATTTTCTGTGTCGACGTAGCTACTACACTCGACCGGCTTCTGAATCGTGGAAATAGGCAAATATAGATTCACACCGATAATCTTAGACAGGTCTGTGTATGCAGATTATGGATCATGTGCAATGACCTCTGAAATATCCAACGTATAAGAGTAAAGTGTAACAAAGTGCAACATATAACAGTGAATAACTGCAACGCGTAATAGTAGAGCAAACTGAACGCAAGGCAGTAAAGTATAACAGTCCGTCCAACACGTGACAGTAATGTGCAGCAATTAGTTCAACACAAGACTCTAATAGTGAATGAAACAGCAGACTCTAATAGTAAATGAAACACATGATAGTAGATAGTGAGTGAGTAAGTTCAGGTTTATACCGCTTTTAACTATATTACAGTAACATCATTGCTGGGGGGACACCAGAAATATGCCTCACTCATTGTATCCATGTGGGGAATCGAACATGGGCCTTTTGCGTGACGAGCGAACACTTTAACCACTAGGCTACCCCACCACCCAGACTCTAATAGGAAATGAAACACATGATAGTAGGCTCTACATAATAGTGACTGTATACAACACTGACTGAAACGGGGGATTGTTTGCGTGTCTGGGGATTTGAGTTGACCATTTCAAATTAATGTATATTAATATATATCGCTCATCTCCTTCAAAGGAGGTGTTATATGTCCTACGTAGGAGATACTAAGTCCAACGTAGGAGATACTAAGTACTACATAGGATATAGTAAGTCTTAGAAGGAGATACCAAATCCTACGTAGGAGATATTAAGTACTACGTAGGATAGAGTATGTCCTACGTAGGACTTAATAACTCCTACGTAGGAGACAGTAAGTCCTACGTAGCAGATATTAAGTCCTACGTAGGAGATACAATGGCCTATGTAGGAGATACAATATCCTATGTAGGAGATACGATATCCTACGTAGGAGATACGATATCCTATGTAGGAGATACTATGTCCTACGTAGGACATAGTATGACCTCCGTAGGAGATAATGAGACCAAAACATTTTTCACCGTGGCCCTACTACGCTTCCGTACAAAGCAGCTTGATGGAAAATCAAATATGTCTACCAGTAAACATACTGAAAATGTGAAAAAACACCCTCTCAAACCACGGAAATAATCGTGAAGCTTAATCTTCATGTCCTGATCCTTATATAATACAGCTGAATATATGTTCAATTGGTTTCAGTCTGAATGTTCATAATGGTTGCAGTAATGGCCGTAATAAAAATCTACTTCTGAATTTATTCAGCCGTTACTCATTGTGCATGTGAAGCTAGCAGCGGTGCTCAGCATCCTGCATTGGAAGTAAACACTATGTATTTATCTCGCCAAGGTTTGCTAAATACAATGTTTATTCCCAAAGCAGGATATTAACCATCCCAAAACATATTCGGATGATAACCTATATATCTTTGTGAGTTAAATTTGGTTATTTGAAACAGGTGTTGTGTAGCCAGTTCTAAATTATCCAATGAGTGTTGTGTAACCAAACTAGATTATTCAGTGATGTTGAATTCATAATGCAGACATTTCTGTTGCGAACTTGATATTTTGAATTGACACTATAACTCCATTCAAGCATTTTTTTACCAAAACTGTCAACCAAACAAAACATTGGGTTTGTACATGATTAAAGTTCAATTACAGTGTCATGGGGATTAGTAGTTGTTTTTCAACTGAATATTTTTGTTTATTTTTGCCTTTAAAGTAATTCTAAGACAGAGTTATCTCCCTTTCATTTTGTTTACATCTGGCATCATCCGCTTGATTTGTCATTCTAGATCACACTGTCTTCCCAACCTATGTGTGATAAATAGATCACAAAACTCGTGGATGTCGAATATGGAATTTTGGCTTGTGAATAAATCAAAACGTTTAAGAATATTGAGTTGGACAATTTGTCATATTCAACACCCACAAGCTTTGTAATCACTATATATTGAGCTGCAGGTGCAATCTGTTTGTCAGGTGCAGCAAGGTTATTACCTAATGTTGCGTTGGGTGCAAGAAGGTTTCATCTCCTTATTTTGATCCCTGCATTTCGTTACCTCTTCTGTTTCAGGGCACACACTCCTAACTCACATAAAGGCTATGGCTGGCTGAAGCTGACTGACCAGGTCATCAAGATCATCAGTGATCAGTGCCCATTTGTCGTTTTCAACCTCTGGGGAAACTTTGCTCAGGAAAAGGGCAAAGTAATTGATGATAATAAGCACAAAATCATTAAGAATGCTCACCCCTCCCCACTAAGTTTTACCAGGTTCGCAGGCTGTAAGTGTTTCTCTGCCACTAATGATGCTCTGCAGAAGAAAGGGTTCTCTCCAATAAACTGGTCTCTGGAGTAACAGGAGCTGTAGCAGCTGGGTCATGAAGTCACATAACTGTAGTATTTCAGGGCTCCCACAGGTCAGGGAAAAGTCAGGGAAATTTGGCATTTCTATGAAAGTCAGGGAAAAGTCAGGGAATTTTGATATGTTTTCAAAAGTCAGGGAATAGTCAGGGAATTTTGATATGTTTTCAAAAGTCAGGGAAAAGTCAGGGAAATTTGGCATTTCTATGAAAGTCAGGGAAAAGTCAGGGAATTTTGATATGTTTTCAAAAGTCAGGGAATTTTGATATGTTTTCAAAAGTCAGGAAATAGTCAGGGAATTTGGGGTTTAAGTCAGGGAAATTTAGGGTTTGGGTCAGGGAAAAGTAAGACTCAGGATGTCGCTAATCAGGTATGGTAGTAGTCAAAGTCAAAGAAGCAGCACATGTTACAGACATTTCATGAAATAAATTACAGTTCAGATAAGAGATTGCTTTTAAGCATAACAGCATGTTTTACATAATGCCCTAGATTACATATTACATTTTCATTTCTGGAGGATAGAATGGAAACAAAGTCACTTGAAGGATATTTTTACAGATAATTATTTGGCATGTATTGTTTTCTGAAATCAGCATAATGTGAATTGTATCTTCTACAGCCGGGTGACATAACAGACATATTCTTCTATGAAGCACAATCGGTTGGATTTGTGAATCAAACAATATGAAACATATTTTCTGGGTTAAAATTCCAAAATTCTGGGAAACTGACATAAATTTGATAAGAGCCTTCTTAGCATGAATGCGGGGTGATATAGTCGACGCCTTGCCCGTCTGTCTGTCCCTCCACCTGTAATCATTTGGTTTCCGGAGCATAACTCGAAAACGGTTCAATTTTTTTACAAAACTTTGCAGATATATCAAACAGAAGTTAAAGTGGTGCCTTTGACTAATTACATATTTTTGTCATTTTTTTTTTTCTTGGTTTCCATGGAAACGTTTAAGACTGTTCTTAAAAGGGAGTGGTGGGCTTTGCTTCCGGAGCACAACTCGAAAACCGTTTAATATCTTTCAACAAAACTTGGCAGTTATATCAAACAGAACCTAAAGTGGTGCCTTTTGCTATTTACAGATTTTTGTCATATCTATTTTTCTTGGTTTCCATGGAAACATATTGGAATTTGTCTGAAAAAATGAAGTTCAACTTTAAGTAACTGTCAGATGATTTGCTCTTTCATATTTGTATGGGCTGGGGGATTTGTCATCTTCTGATGACTCTTGTTTAGTATGGAAAAACACTAATCCGAGATAGGCATAGTGATTAACAATAGATAATTGTTTGCCATTTAAAAACATTTTTCTTTATAGGCAACAGATCCACTTCTTCTAAAGATAACTATGTTAACAGATAATTTTCCATTCATTTGTATACTGTTCCAAAATATTATAAATAGTATGATGGCTATGGTGGTTTCTTGCAAATTGTGAAAGCCTATATTGGCCAAAAATACCCATATAAGTTTCATTGTTAAAGTACAGCATAGGTTTATAATATGCCCTATGTTCTGACATTTGCTGTTTATTCACAAATGGAAAGTGGTTTAATGATGTTCATAATCTAGTTGTCATGGTTGTACTGAATGTAAAGTTACATCTTGCATGTTTATTCTTTCCAAATACGCCTTTGATAATTATAACATTTTGTGATAATGAAGAAATGTGTTCCTGACTTTGAATGAAACAATTCAATTAAATCATTAGTTTCACATTTATGCTCTTTGTCAAAAGCCTTTAATATAAAATACAAAGTTTTCAGATGATATATTACTGACTTCACCTGAGAATATATATATGATGGTGCGGTCAAATGTATCTAATAGTATTATGTAACATTGTGGCAGGAGAGTCAAGGAAAATTTTCTTCATCACAAATATAAATGTTTTTGTAAATGTAATAAATTAACAAATATTGTGTGTTTTTATGATATGTGTGAAGGAAATATCTTAACAGGGTGGTTAGGACTGACTGAAAGGGAGGAAGAAGGCCAGTTTTTACACTTAAATGGTCAGGGACAAATCTATACTTATCAGGGAAAAGTCAGGGAATTTTGGCCTGCCATGCCTGTGGGAACCCTGTATTTGGACCCTGTAGTGGCTAGCCCAAGAACCTGGTCCCTGCAATGACTTTATTGCAAGCATCTGGTTCCTGTAATGACTTTATCTCAAGTATCTGGTCCATGCGTTAACAAGAACTGTGGCAGCTGGTCATTACAGTGACAAGAGCCGTTGCAGCTGGTCCACACATTGGCAAGAGCTGTAGCAATTTGTCATTACAGAGTTGTGATAGCTGTTGCAGCTGGTCCCTACAGCGACAAGAGCTGTAGCAGCTGGTCCCTACAGTGACAAGAGCTGTAGCAGCTGGTCCCTACAGTGACAAGAGCTGTAGCAGCTGGCCCCTACAGTGGCAAAAGCTGTAGCAGCTGGTTGCCAACTTGGCTAGAGCTGTAGCATCTTGTCATTACAGGGACCAGAGCTGTGGCAGCTGTAGCATCTCATCATTAGAGTGACACAAGCTCATACCATGAACAGTTGGTTTATGAGAGCACATCATCACATATCCAATAGCACTGATAGCAGTGCTTGCTTCAATCATGAAACAACATTGTCATTTGTGTGGGTGAATGAGAATTGTTCAGTGTTTCTTTTAACCAGATTCCAGCAATAGATTCCATGCACAGGGACCAATTTTGTCATAGTTCTTAGGATTTGCACTAGCATTCAATATTTTTCAGCGTTACTTTAAAACAAATATACCAATTTTTACGCATATCTTGTAAATGTAACAATTTGTTATCAATATTCTAAATCTAATTGTTTTTTTACACCTATCTTGTTAATATGATATTTTTTTATTATTGCTTGTAAACTGATATAGTTATTTTTACACATGTTGTTTTGATGTAACATTAACCATATACATTTGTAGAGACTATATTTCTTTTTGTAATTTTCCACCATGTTTTTAATGAGCAGTTTTGGGACAGATTTTTAAATAAAACACTTTGCGACAGTTTTGTATGTGTCATTCTTAAAAACTTTAGGTCATGTATCATACTGACACATTACTGCTTGACCAGATTGGTGACCATCAGCTGTTGAAATAGCTGGATACAGTGAAGATCTTCGTTCGAATTGGTCTTCAGCAACCCATGCTTGTTATGAGAAGCGACGGAGGGGATCGTTGGTCAGATTGACTAACTTGGTTGACATTCCACTTGCTCTTAGTCATTGAATATATACTCATGGAAACGAATAAGGGAACACATGAAAGTAAAAGTGTTCCTTTATGTATTCTCGAGAGCGGAAGGTCGCGGGGTCGATCCCCGACCACTTCATACCAAAAGACGTTAAAATATGGTACTTGTTGGTCCCTGCCTGGCGATCGGCATTAATGGGTACAACAAGGACTGGTCGGCTCAGAGTCAGTATACCATGCTTCACTGCGGCATGGTATCTCAGTGGGCTAGCACTTTAAAACCAGCTTAAGTCTGGGCTAGTACAAGCAGCCGCACATACACACACGTCGTCATATGAGCGAAATATTCTCAAGCACGACGTAAAACCCAATTTCACCTCACCTCACCTTATTTATACCCAGAATTAGCCTATTTCTGGTGTCCCCTGTCGTGATATTGCTGGAATATTGCTAAAAGCGGCGTAAAACTAAACTCAATCAGTCAGTATACCAAGAATTTCACCCACAGCACAATACATACCTTGTGAAGACACCTGGAAAAGAATAAAGGAGGCTGTCTGTAATTAATCAAGTCTGGACCAGACAATCCAGTGATCAACGGCATGAGCATAGATCTACGAAATTTCAAAATTCCTTTTGTGATGGCATGTGTCAACCAAATCAGTGAGTCTGACTACCTGATCCCCTCAGTCGCCTTTTATGAGTGAGTTAGTTTAGTTTTACACCGCACTCAGCAATATCCCAGCTATATGGCGGCGGTCTGTAAATAATCGAGTCTGGACCAGACAATCCAGGGATCAACAGCATGAACATCAATCTACAAAATTTGGATACGATGATGTGTCAATCCAGTCAGCGAGCGTGACCAGCCGATCCCATGAGTCGCCTCTTACAAGTTTCTGAAGATCAATTCTAACCCGGACCTTCACGGGTGTACGAGGTTTATACAGCAAAAATTGATGTTTGTGACGACAGCAGTCCTGGAGTCTCTTACCCCTATTCCCAGAGGGGCGGTGGGGTAGCCTAGTGGTTAAAGCATTGGCTCGTCATGCGGAAGACCCGGGTTCGATTTCCCACATGGGTACTATGTGTGAAGCCCATTTCTGGTGTCCCCCAACTTGAAATTGCTGGAATATTACTAAAAGCGGAGTAAAACCATATTCACTCACTCTATTCCCAGAATTCAAATCACTAATAGAACTGTATCTGTGATTCATAAGAACACAATACAAAACAGAACACAGATTCAAAACCCTTTATTTCAAAGTAAAAAAATATAAACGTTGGTTGTTTAACAATACTTTAAGAACATACAGTTAGGTCTGGCTATTGATGATATAGATTGTAGAAATTGATAATCATCAACTAAAAAATATCAATCGATTATCGATAATTATCGGAGACGTAACTTTGAGCCAAAATGCCAAAACTATCTGAAATAAAGGAATATATTTCACATCACTGGGAGTGCTGACATGTTTTTGCTGTGATTATTAACAAAACTACATTCTGAACACAATTTAGAAGCAGAATACGAATAATGTCCTAAATTGGTATTGTGTGAGAAAATTATGATTTTTCTTCTATCACATAGGTTGATATACGATATTATTGATCACACAATTTTCATATCGATAATCATTAATAATATTTCCAATCGATGATATTTCTGAATAGCCAGCGCTAGATACAATCACATATTGATAACACATTTGTGTCTCGGTCCAGTATATGAAAGATTGGCATGCCAAAGTCACAGAAACGGAGAATTATATCTCCTTCCAAACGAGCAATCAGAACTAAATGAGCTGTTGCTTAGATCCTGCTGGAAC